ACTGCTTGTAGAATTTTGTCCTTCTGTTGGGTTTCTGGAATCTTAATTATTTTATGCCTACGTTTAGATTTTTTTTGTATCAAAGCTACTTGGAGTCCTATATGCCTCACTTATCTGTATGTCCAGTTCTTTTCCCCTTCTTGAGAAGTTTTGTGCCATCACTTCTGTGAACAGTGTTTTGGTGTCATCTGCACTCTCTCCTGTTTCTTCATTGACTCCAATCAGTCTTATTTTTTTATTCTTTGCATCATCTAGCAGCCGCTGGATTGATTTCTTGTGGTCCCTTACAATTTTGTACTGGGGATCAAACTCGGGTCCTTGTGCTTGCATAGCAGGCGGTGAAACCACTGAGCTAAATCTCTGGACCTCCCTTACAATTTTGAAGCAGTTTTTCTTTTCCTGGTCACTAATTGCAATCTTATCTTCTATATCTGAAATTCTGTCCTCACATTAGTTCATTCTGTTGCATAGACTTTCAATGGAGTTCTTAATCTCCTGGAAATCTGTTTGTATCTGTTTTATGGATTCCATTTGTTTGCTATGTTGGGATTCCATTATGTTCCTCAGCTCCTCTAAATTTTTATCTGTGTCCTCTCTAGATTTTTAAATCATGTCTTGCACTATGGGCACAATCTCTGTTATCTGAGAAATTATTTCTGATTTCATTTTTTCCAGATCCTCTTTTGTTTCCAGTTCAGAGAGTCCAGGTGGTTGAGTATCACAGTGTTCCATCTCATTTCCCTTTGGGGTTGTTTTAGGTGATCTGGAAGTGTGGTTTTGAAACTTGTTTATGTGTCTTCTCATTTCAATGGGGTGGGGGGTTGCTTCTGGCGCCTTTGCGGCTTACCTCCTCTGTGCTGACAGGGGTGGTACCGCCTCTCAGAAGGCCCCATCTTGTGCGCTTGGGAGCGCCTCACCTCCTCTGTGCTGTTGGGGGTGGTACAACGGCCCAGAAGCCTCTCCTATTGCAAAACATTCTTAGAATTATGTTTTTGATACGAAAAAAGAGTAGTTTTCCTGTTCTAACTCCAAAAGCCTCAGAAAGTTGAAAACACCAAGGATGTTTAGGTATTAAAAAAGCAGTAGAAACTTTTCAAATGATCACATGCTATTACTCACATACCCCATTTCCTATTGTGGCTCACAAGACTGTCTAGTCCTGTGGGACAGTTAGAAGGACACTGGCATTGATGAAATAGTGTGATTTCTGGGTAATGTTCTCTATCATGTTTGCAAGGTCATTGTGGTAGTCCTAGTAGTAGCAGCCCAGAAAACCAGGAGTATGTTGAAAACATTGAATGCTTTGTTGAGGACATGGGAGTTGGAATCCATATAGTAAATGCCGATTGGCTTGGGAATGGAACTTGGCATACAGCAGAAAGTGGGAGATTCATTTGCTGAAAGATGATGTTAGAGGAGAAGGAAGAGAGGACAGTGAAAGGAAGACAGAAGGAAGAGAGATAGATCTGAGATAAACATGGAAAGTGTTGGGTAATTGAAGACACCGTTTAAGTATCGTTGCACAGGGTAGCCTGAAAATTTAGTAGTTTGATCTTTAAGGAGAACAGTGATTGATTCACTTTTGTATGAGTTGAACAGAACACATAGAAAACATTATAATTCTGTGACAGTGACTACTAAGAACAAGCTTAGAAATATTTTTCAAAACCCTTAATTACTTTTTAGTGGCTAATAACTATATTAGTTACAGCATACAGTTCTAGTTTATCTGTTATCAAAGCTGTCTTCTATTCTTCACACAGGGGATTTATACTCATTATATTCTGATGTGTGGTTCTTGAATTGATAGGGTTTATAATTCATTCTTCTCTTACCACATGTATGTATATATGCATGTATGTGTGTATGTGTCAGAGGAGGAAAATTGGGACCAGTTCTGAAAGACTTTTATTTTTAATCCATCTTAGAAATGATTTTTAATTTAAGATAAATTATTGGTAAACCTCAAAAGGCAAAAGGCTTTCTGATTTCAAATGGGATTACAGAGCTACTTATAATGGCCAAAAAAAAAAAATCACAATAAAATAATGGCCAATTAATTTTCATATTCCTAATACATTACTGTTTTTGTTTTTATAAAAACTAACCTTGCACCTACATCTGCCACTTTTAACTTTTAATTTACTTATCAAAACATGGAATTAGCTAAATACAGTTTATTAACTTTCTATTTTGTATTTCTAATAACCAATTAAATATTTTCAAAAGTTTACTTTAACTGGTAAAACAGAAAGAAAAGTATACTTGTTATCCAGAAAGATGAGTATAAAATATTCACTCATTTAAATAAAATACCTTCTTGAAATCTTTTCTTCTTTTAAAAAGATGTGTATCGTGAACATTAATACAATTTCTGATACATTTTCTGTTTCTTGCTGACTTACAAAGAAGCCAGGTATGGTGGCACATACCTGGGATTCCAACACTGTGGGAGGCTACAGCAGGAGGATCACAAATTTAAGCCCAGCCTGGGCAACTTAGTGACTTAGACCCTGTCTCATAAAGGGGGTAGAGGTGTGTGTAGCTCAGTGCCAAAGTCACTAGGTTCAATACTGAAAAGAAAAGAAAAGAAAAACACACAGACACGGATAACAGAAAGTAGGTATTCTTCAAACAATAAAAACCAGGTAGAGTTCATATACTAGCAAATACTGTTTTTTAAAAATTGGAAACATTTTAGAGAAATCCACCAAACATGTTTTCTAAAAAGGAAAGGTCCATCACTAGTGCCGCCACCTGCCTCACAAGCACAAGGTCCCGAGTTTGATCCCCAGTACCAAAAAAAAAAAGGAAAAGTCTAAGGCATTTCATAAGAGGTTTAAGTTTCTTTTTTACTTTCTTTTTTATTTTTTCAAATTTAAGTTAGGAGACATTCAAGATGTTGAAAATTTTATTTTTTATTTTTTTAAGGCAACATAATTGAACATAGTCTCAAAATTCATTTAAAGCCATGACATGATCCGTTTCTTTTGTTTTTGTTTTTCTAACCCTAATCTTTGATTGTTTCAGATTTGCAACCTTACAAATATGCGGGATACCCCATGCTGATTAGGACTATAACGATGGAAACTTCAGATGCTCTCCTTTTCTCAAAAGAATCCCCATTGTTGCCTGCAGCTGCGGAGCTGGCTTTCCACACTGTCAACTGCTCAGCCCTCAATGCTGAGGAGCTCAGGAGGGAGAATGGGATAGAGGTAAGAGAATGACCGCTGGCCTTACCTTTACACTAGTTCAGGTGTACATTAAGTGACATTTGGTTAATGCACCCAGTACAAATGCAGTTGAGGAAGTTTTTCCTTCGACTTACTCCAGTAGATAACACAATATGCTCTATATTCTAGATAAAACTAAAGGTAGAAATGAGGCTTTATTTTATAACACGAATTAGAGAATATTGGGTTCAAAATTGGAAACGTTACGTTGCTTGCAAGGTAGATTTTGGGAAGGTTTTTGTTTTTTTTTTTAAAGGAACTTTTAGGAGGCTTTTGTTTATTTAATAAGTATTAATTGAGCCAAAGTTTAGGTACCAAATATCTTATATTAAAAGGTATTTAAAAGAATTAAGCTGTGTTATGTACATGTATCAATTCCCCCATGACAAATGTACTACAAACATGTACTAATCAAAAAGTAAATAAATAGGGCCGGGAATTTAGCTCAGTGGTTCCGCCGCCTGCCTCACAAGTGCAAGGACCCAAGTTCGATCCCCAGTACCAAAAAAGAAAAAGTGCTTTCCAAAAAAATAAATAAATAACAGTTTTTAAAAAGGTTGTTTATTCCTGCCAGAAAAGGGCTTTCAGGCTTCTGTTTCAAAATGGAAAGCTCATGGCTAACTTCTTTCCCTGCAGGTGTTACAGGAGGCATTTAGTCGCTGTGTGGCCGTCTTGAATCGCTCTAGTAAACCAAGTGATATGTCAGTACAGGTGAGGCTAAAATGTACGGTTCCCAGACAGCTACACTAGACCATGGCTCAGTCTTTCACATACATGAGAAGCAGCTGGAGAGCTCATTAAACCATGGATTAACAGCTTCTGTCTCTGCCCTACTGAGTTTTTAACTTAGTAGTTCTGGCCCTGAGTCTGTGAATCTGCTATTCTAACAAGCCTCTAGGTGGTGCTGGTAATGCCAATGTGTGTATCACACTTTAGGAATCACTTATGAAGTGTTAGCTTCACTGTTTTCTTTGTTATGCTAGAGAGCAATACAGTATACTGGACCCTGATGTCTCCATAACCGCTTCAGACATTTGTCATTCTGTCACTCCTGTTTCACATGTCTTCCACCCACCTCTGTAATTTTCTTCACTACCTCCTTCCCATATTTGTATTTTTATTGACAGCTTTTTAAGGTTATAATAGTTGAATTCTTTGATAGAAAATTCATCATGAATGTATTAAGATTAGAGAGCATGTCTTTTTATGTAGTCCTGATGCTAGCAAGATTTAGGATATAAAAGTTATACTGTATTTTTAATTTTTTTGTACTCAGAAATACTGGCTTTGAGTGTCATCCTGTTTTGAAGTACTTTATATAAATAGAATTGTGATATTCTGCCATGTGAAAAAGCTAGAGACAAATACCTTAATCTAGAGCCCGGCAAACTTTTTAAATAGAGACCCAGAGATTAAATATTTGAGGTGGCCAGGTTTTATATAGTCTTTTATATATTCTTTTGTTTCATGTTACATCTCTTTAAAAATTTTTTTTAAAAAAACATTCTTAGGTTACTGTTGATACAAAAAGTAGGTCATGCTTGCATAGTGCCATGGGCTATAGTCCCCATGTTTTGCCAGTCTGTGAGAAATCTTACTATGAAAAACTAGTAACATAATATCTGTTTAATTGTGGAGCATTATATATGCCATTTTCATGATTCACAAATTTCTACTGATTTGGTTTCTCCTGTGTTTTACGTAAAGAATGCATGTGTGAACCGCACCCCCCCCCCATTGTGTTGTCTGCAGGTGTGTGGTCACATAAGTAAATGCTATAGTGTGGCAGCTCAGTTTGAAGAGTGCCGAGAGAAGATCACAGAAATGCCTGGCATCATCAAGGATCTCTGTCGGGTGCTGTACTTTGGCAAGGTGGAGTTGATGGTCCTATTTCTGGATGCATTTAGCAATGGTTTCCTTGTCAAGTAGCCAGATTGTTTTCCTAAAATTATTTGTAAGTAAACTGCTTGAATCTCAAAGCATTTTTCACAGAATCTGCTGCAGATGAAGGCTTTGTTCCTAGGCTGACCCACAAAAAGTAAGACTAGAGCAACATATATAAAGGAAGTTGTTCTCACCTAATTTCTAAAGAAGAGAGGCAGAGAGAAAATAGAGAAAGCTAGACTAAGTAAAGCTAATAAAAGTCCAGGTAAAACCTATACTTAAGAGTTCATTCAGTCACTGCTTGGTGGGCAAGGCTTTAAGATCTCAGAGCATACTATTACCCCCCAAACCATTGGGGGAAGAGCTATGAGACTGGGAGGAGAGACTGTGTAGGGAACAGGGCAGGGTGAGTTGTGTTGACTAGAAGAGGAATGAAGTGCTAATACTGGACCATAAGGAACCTGATGAAATACCTCCTCATCTGTATCTACTTGGTAGTCTTAGAACTGTTTAGTACGAACACAAACTTTTTTTCCCAGTACGAGGAATCGAACTCGACCTTGCGCTTGCCAAGCAGGCACAGCACCACTGAGATAAATCCCCGGCCCTTAAGAATACAAACTCATTATCTAATGAAGTTAAATCTTTTTATACTTGCACAAAAGGGATGTACTTAAGATCACTAGTGCGTGAGTTACTATTGATGCATTATTGGTATTTTTAAAAGCTAAAAATACTGGAAGTAGGAAAGCTATACTCCCAAGTCTTTGGACAATAGTCTCAAAAATACCAACTTGGTATCTTTTTATTTTAGACTTTTTTTTATTTTTTAAAGGGTCCCACTATGTGTAGTTTAGTCTGGCCTTGAACTCACTATTTAGCCTAGGCTGACTTTAATCGCTTGGTTGATTATCCTCCTGCCTCAGCCTCCCAAGGGCTGGGATTACTGGCATTTGCCCCCACGCGTGGCCTTTATTTTAGGCTTTAAGATTTAAGTTGAAATTGAAAACGTAAGAAGAGACATGTTAAATATTTTGCAAAATAAGATAGCCAGCTTGACATACATTCACAACCAGTTTCTCTTGGGATCTTTTTTTAACCTGTAAATTAATTCGTGTTTTGTTTTTTTTCCCCTCAGGGTATTCCACGGGTGGCTGCCCTTGGGGTAGAATGTGTCAGTTCTTTTGCTGTGGATTTCTGGCTGCAGACACACCTGTTTCAGGCTGGAGTTTTGTGGCATCTGCTTGGTTATCTTTTTAATTATGACTACACACTAGAAGAAAGTGGCATTCAGAAAAGTGAGGAAACAAACCAGCAGGTAACTGGCAAATTGCTTTAGTGCTAAATTTGAACCCAAACCCAGGGAGGTTGTTGCTACTTAATGCGAAGTGAAACTTTAGCTATCCAAAACCCATGGAGGATAACTATATTTTTTCATGATGGCAAACATGGACTTAAAAAAATAAAAAGATAGTAACTAAGTTTATTCAAGGCAAGGAAATTTTCAAAAGCACATACTAGACATAATTTAATATTTTTGTTCAGTCAACTTTATGAGGGCTAGCCTCCACAAACACTTGAGTAGTTACCTGATATTTATAGATACTTTTTCTGTCTTGCCTTTCCTATTCTCATTCATTGCTCATAATGTTAGCATGTTCCTCTAACAGGCAAGTCTACCTACTTGTCACCTACTCCCCATGCTACTTCTAAATGTGATAATGTGAGTTGTCATATTGGGAATAAATGAGTACATAGATTTTGATTGCTTTTCCTATAAGTAAAGACTAAATATATAAGCTTTCTGGTAGCAGTTTGGGGCTCTTGTACCTTTCTTTGCTTTCTTCTTAAAAATATATAGTTTTGGTTCCATAAAGTTACTGGCTACCTATGTAAGATAACAGATCTACTTTGATGTCTTAATTTTTTTATAATAGGAAGTGGCTAACAGCCTTGCCAAACTAAGTGTCCATGCTCTAAGTCGCCTTGGAGGGTATCTGTCTGAAGATCAAGTCACCCCAGAAAATCCATCTGTAAGGAAAAGTTTAGCTGGCATGCTGACACCCTATGTTGCTAGAAAACTTGCTGTGGTTAGTACTACCGAGGTATGTATTACAGAAGTAGGCTGAGTTTTGATGAAAAGTGCAGGAGCCTCTAAATTGCAAAAGAAACAAAATAATACTGATTGCTCTAGGAAACCTGAACATTAAAAATATCACTTGTTATTTCAGCCAAGAAATTGTTTATTGTAAGTCAGTGCTAATGACAACATCTCTTAAAATTTAGCTTTCTTAGGAGTTAATTAACCTTATGTTTCTCAGCTGTGGAGCCCACTCTGATTTTTAACAAATTGAGTCATGAAAGAACAGCACAAGAAACTAATCTGGGAATGATATTTTACAATGGGCAGAGTACTAGAAGTCAAAGGACTGAGTCTGGTTCTGTTTTTCTTCTTTTTTTTTTTTTCTCTTTTCCTTTTTTGTGGTACTAGAGATTGGACCCAGAATATTTGTGCTGAGCTACATCCCA